TTTAATATGCCAAGCTGGGCGCAACAGATAAGACTGCATAAGAGAGAAACATGAGCTGTCGGGAAATACTACTGAGACAAGGGGAATGTGGAGGAAATGAATGTTAAGCAGTTTGTGTTCCCACAGGTAGGTGAAGCCCAGCCCCGCATCGTTTTCTTCGACGCCGCTTAGTCTACAATCGGCCACGAAGTAGCTCCAGCCATAAACAGTTTTCGGCAACCCTGAGATGATTTCACGAGCGTCTACCGCGAGACAAACCCCAGAAAGTCAAGATCACCAGTGACACTATGGCCAACGCGAACATCCATGTCCCCGCGCCGGTGGAGCTCTTCGCCGACGACGATGAGGATGTGAGCTCGGAACCAGCAGGATCCTCGGGCGATGATAGCAGCCACGGCGTGTCAGGCTTGCGCAAACTTATTGATGACTTGGGAAAGTCTGAAGAAGGCGCAAAGGAAGTAGGAGTGTTTCGTCAATGGATTGACCCGATGGTGGCCGACGGCATTGAGGAGGGTTTGAACATGAGAGACTATCGTAATCGGACGCTACTTCATATTGCAGCAATAGAGGGACTCGCAGAAACCGCGAAGAGGCTCATCGATGCCGGAACAGCTCTGGACGCCCAAGATGAATGGGGGAATACACCACTCATCGACGCATGTGGAGAAGGCGATGGAAGAGGTGGCTACATAGAGATCGTCAAGCTTCTCCTCGACAAAGGGGCCAGGGCCGACATCTTCAGCAACAAGCATGAATCGCCTCTGTACAGAGCAGCCATCAATGGACACAGTCTCATTGTTCGATACCTCTTGGCCAAGGTCGAGTGGGATCTCGACATCGGAGAAGAGACGTACAATATGACACCGCTGCATGCTGCTGCTTCGGCAGAGGACAGCGTAATGGTGCAAGATCTGAGGGACAAGGGCGCGAGACTTGACCTCCGTGATATAGACGGGCGGACGCCACTCATGACAGCAATCGTCTCGCAAAGAGAAGATGCAGTGAAAGAATTGCTTCGGAGACGAAACGACGAAGATCTTCAGCTGGAAACAGACGATTCAGAAGGGCGAACACCTATCTTGAGCGCAGCTAAGGATGGCCTTGTGAATGGCTTCCGTCTTTTGATGGAAGCCAGCGCCAAGGTGAATGTTCGGGGGCGAGATGGCCAGCAGCTTTTGCATGTCGCTTGTACAGGTTATGACGACGATGGACAATACAACGAGGTGATTCGACTCTTACTGGATCAGAATCCGAGGCCTTATACGGAAGTGGCGATAAAGGAGATGGAAAACGCAGTGGAGCTGGCATTTGAGTATGACCACGATGAAAGAGGGGAGGCAATACTCGACGTCCTGGCTGAAGCAAGCTCATGGACCTCTGACACCCTTTTATCAGCAGCTGGCGAAGCAAAAAGACATAAGATCGCATTGTCTCTCCTTAAAAGGCAACTGAGGGCCTCTCTCACTCCTGATGCCGAGAGATCAGAAGGTTGGACTGCAATTGAATGGGCGGCTTACGCCACAGAACCAAAGGTCCTGTGGCTTCTCATTGCCAGCTCTCCACAGATTCGGGAGACCCACAAGGCTCTCAAGTCGTCAAAGACTATAGTCGAGAGGTTATATCACCAGGCCGAGGTTTCACTTCAAAGCCAGGAGTGTCGAGAATCGCATCTCGCAGACGACGCAAAAAGGAGCAACAAGAGCACCGCCAGACAGGAAATCCTAGACATCCTCAATAACCCGCCCACCGGCTTGACATGCCGAGACAGCTCGAACTATGGCCTACCGAGGTGTGGAGACAAGTTTTCCTCTGATGCTTACTGCGCTACAATCATTCAGTTTTATGAGACGCAAGGAAGGTTAGACAGCATCATAAGGTCTGAAACTATCAAGGAAACCATTTACAATCAAGGACCGGCGGATATCATGAAGAAGGCGATGACCAGGCTAAAAGATTTGGCGAATTCGCATGTGGTTGAGCCGAAGGGCAGCGGCGCTTTTGCACGACCGAACACTAATTTCATGGACTCAAGAACGGATCCAAAGTTCACCTGGATTCATTTACCCGCAACCAACGTAACTAGACGCTGTCAAACTTGAAGAAAATATATACTGGGGCTGACTCAATATGTGTAGATGGTCTGGATGGACGTTAGTTATCATTGTCTTTGAACGCGCGTCAAGTACTAATTATATATCTCAGCATTCACTACGGCGCATCTTGTATGACGAAAACAAAGCTAGAAGGCACCTCAATCACGTAAAGTCTTTTTTCAAGGACAGCTGGGTCGAAGTGCCGGATAAAGTGTCTGCAATGAGGATGATGAGGCCTCGTTTCGTCTCGCGCGATATAGATGTGGTCAACATGAGAAGGAATGAGGCTTACATGAAAGATGCAACCAAGGAAATGACTAAGGAACAGAATGGAAATCAGGATGCGGAGCCGCCTGCGACACCTGATGTGGCAGCAACAGCTATTTACGTGAGTGTAAAACCCCCTTCATGTCTCTTGCCAGATTCTCATGCGAAGAAAAAGATGCCATATCTGTCATACTCCTTCCAACCCTGGGAAAGCATGGCCAAACTTACACAACCACAAAGAAAAACGGGAACGGAGAGGAGCGCCAGATACGATAGGTTCCCGCAAGAGAAAGAGTTCAATTATGCGAAGAAACTCCATGAACTTCAGAAAAGGTATCAACGTTTGCTGGATGAATACGAGGGAAAGATTGCTCATGGGTCTTCAACTCTCGACGAGTCCTACTATCACTTCGAAGAGGATGAAGATTCAGTGAAAGCAAGACTCAGGCGCAATATGTCCCAGGTGGTGACTAAAAGTTGGGGAAAAGATTCGAAGCGTTTGAAGCAAAAGCAATTCTCCTACGTACCCTTGATAAGAGTCAATCAGCTATGGGTTTGGACCATAGATGACAGTAGGTGGCCGAGACAATTTTTAAAGCTTCGCTAACATGAATATCTCGCTTAGAATGGCTGATATCCGCCTCACATACAGCTGATGATGGCGAAGACGAGATTCTGAATAACATACCTGATATTCTTGAGAAGTGGGATAAAGCCGATGGAGATAATGTACACTCAGGGTTTACAGTCGATATGAGCCAAACAATCGTCGACCACTGCGTCGGCCTTTTTTGGAGGACGCCCGAAGGGCTTAATCCCGAAAGCCCAGAAGATTGCAGGTTGAGAAATCTTTCATCCATCCGCCAGACATTTTTGGGGTTCATCAACTCTAAGGTTTGTCAGACTCGACTTGGCTGCAAGTCATTGACTAATACTTCCATCAGGCGGGGGAGGACGGCAGGCTATCTATCCATCTCGACAACCTGACAACGGATATGATACCTAAAGGGTCGCATCAAACAACCGAGCACCGTGAATCAGTTGTGAAATCCAATGACAAGTTGCTGGCGGAGACCATTTCTGAAGTGGACAGCCTCTCTCGCAGGCTAGAAGACGTACTAGAAGAACTTGGTATTCTCGAGGCTACAGTCCAATATCAGCAGGATGTTCAGAGGGCAATGAAGAAGAACTATGTTCGGAACAACAGTGAAGCCCAGGATACCCTGGAGATGGATCTATCTGCGACCTATGTCATCAAGGATATCAAGAAGCTCAGCAACCTCGCGGAGAGGGTCCTTACGTCGGTACGTATTCTCGAGCCTCTGATAGAGTGTTTCTGATGCAGAGTCAATTTCAGGTCAAAGCCAAAGCCCCGATTTGTCAGAGCCTGATCGCGAATCTACAAACAGACCTCTCGATACAACAAGGCAGGGTACTCATGGTCTTTACTGTGGTGACCATTCTTTTTGTGAGTCCTTCGAACCGCTTTCAGGCACAACCTTCCATGTCAGCCGTACTTACTGTTGAAATTCAGCTACCTCTATCCTTTCTGACGTCTCTTTTTGCCTTGGATGTCGCCTCATTTGAGCAAGCCCCAGCCTGGGCATTGATCGTCATATGTGGGTACTTCCCGATTGACTGTTTAACCAACTTCTGCTAATCAGGCGCGGTTTAGTCTCGACATCTGCTGCATTTGTCATTCTATCAGTTCTCGTAGCTTTCGCAGGGGATCGAGGCAAACAGGTTGCGCTCAACTTGCTGGCGGCAGTTCTCGTATTTTTGGGATGGGATCAAAAGAAACAGACTGCGCGCAACTTGTTGGCGGCACCACAAAGGCTGCTTGACGCCATTACTACTTCTTCAAAGAAGACATTGGCGGAACTCATCGGCCATCTACTAGGGCTTTCCGAGACCCCAAATCAAACTCAGCGTGCCAATGATGGACCCCACCCGGCTCCGGATCGTCCTGAAAGTTCTTCTCAGGCACCATTCCAACGACGCACCAGCGTGACTGACTCTCTGCGGGCTAGGAAATCATCAAAGACTATCATCGGCGATAGCAATAGGTTGGACTTGGAGAAGGGATTTGGCAAAGGAAGTGGCTGATCCAGGGGATCGAATGAACAGTAGCTTGCTGGCACAGCAGCGCCCGAATATCAAGTCGTCGAGAGGAATGAATAAACATTTGTACGGTTTACAAGTCATCTACCAGGTCGTCCTAGAAATCTCATTGACTGTTGGCAATACATTTGTAGCTTATGATGCTAGATCACGTGTAGTGGCGATCTTTCTGTTGAACGAGCAGATGAAATCAGTAATGAAAGTTTGGTATGGCTTAGAGCTGAGGTTGGTGCACCGTGTGCCGAATGCCCTGCGTCGTCACAAGATGGAATGAATCTCGCTTTGGCAAGATTTCAACTGCACATGGATCCATGCCATTGCGACCTCAGTTACACAGAAGCTCGGTTGAAATGGACCTACGAGACGCTTCCCATCTATGTCCATAGCCCTTTTTGTAACTGGTATCGTCGACATGTTTTGTGGAGGCATCGGGTGATTCCATAGCGGTAGGGGAAGGTTTCCATCTAGCTCACACGAAGCGTCTGGGATTATGCAGCCACGAAATCTAGCAGGAAACCTCTAACCAGCTCTACTATCAACACCCCGACTCCTCGCCCTCCTCAACCTCCAATCCTCCTCCTCATCCTCCAACAACCTCTGCCCAGGCAACCTCACAGCCCGATCCAACGCAACCGGCAACCCCCTATGCCGCCCCCTCAACATAACAAGGCACAACACAAGCTTACTCCCCGCATGCCACCCGCCCGCAAAGCTCATCGCATCATTCGGCAACCCAACCGATATCCCCACACACCCATACGCCGAGACAACCTCAAACACAACATTGAACACCGAAAAGTGCACCGGGTCCTCCAGAAAGTGCGACGTCTCAATGATCACAATCAGCAGCACCGCGAGCGTCAGAAGCCAGAGGTCGTGCGCCAGCTGGCCGCGGATCTGCTGGCTGACGAAGCTCGTCCGGGACTCGTACCCGTGGGTGCCGGCGGCGGGGCGTGCGGCGCCGACGCCGGCGAAGCTGAGGTTCTGGCGGAAGAAGTCGCCGACGATGTTGCTGCCGGTGGTGTGGTGGTTTTTCTCGGAGGGTTGGAAGGGGTTGAGGTGTTGCTCCTCGTCGTCGGCGTAGATGCCGAGGGAGCGTTCTTCGTAGACGTTGGAGTGGCGCATTGTTATCACGACGGGGTAGACGGAGATGTACATCATGATGACGTACAGGACCTGTAGGCGGAGGAGATTGGGATGAGGTAGAAGCCGCCGGAGCGAACAGCTGAGATTCGTTAGTCTAGATCTGAAGACGTTTGAGTTGAAGATAACTTACCAAGTGCTTGGAACAAGCCATCCAAGACTCTCGCCCCAACTGGAATGGCCTCAATGACGGGGTTGCCAATGCTCAGCACCTCGAACGCAACCCAATCGATCCCATTAATCAACACAACCATGAAGAAAAGCCACCACGTCGGCCTCGAGGGGAACAGGTTCGTGTACACCCTCCTCGGGTACTTCAAGATGAACTCCAGCGTATTCTTCAGCTCCCCATGTCTCCCCTCGGCCGTAGTGAGCCTCAGCACCTTCAAAGCCGCCCAGAAAATCAACCTCAAAAACAGGGGATACGCCGTATTACCCGCCAAAATAAGCAGTCCCATCGTAATAAGCACAAAATACGCCTGCTGCCAGACGGTCATCTGGCTGAGGTTGACGTTGTTCAGCCCGGCCTCCGTGATGGCGGAGACGACGAGGAACAGCGCGTCGACATAGCTGATGCTCCCGCGCGGGTTCGAGGAGGCGTAGAAGACGGCCGAGGCGAGGAGGGAGGTGCCGATGAAGTAGGCGTAGTGCAGCGTGATGAAGTTCAGCGGCGGGAGGAATGAGCGGATGCCGCTGCCGCTTCTCGGTGAGCTTCGAGGTGTCAGCATATCATGAGCTTCATCTGAGATGCCGTTCTCGTCGCCATATGGGTGTCGCGACGGATTCGTCATGGTGAGGGTGGGAGTGAGACCCTGGTCCAGCCCTACGTCAGCCCAGCCGGCAATTTTAGACTTTTGACGCCGCCAAGCGCGTTGCGATCTAGCCAAGCAACAAGAGAGATCTCGCAGATCTGCGCGTCCAATTTTCTCGTTCCTGTCGTCCTGCCGCCGCGAAAAGAAAAGACAAAACAACCGCTGTCCGGACACCAAATCGGGCACGGGTGCATCCCTCCTTCGCCTTTGTTTTTCTCCCGGTTTCCCTCCCACATAACGCTTTAACCTCACAAACTGTCGGTGAGATACAAAGCCTTCGCAGGGGTCATCAGGGTGCCACAATATACAGAGCCTCCCGAGTCATTCGTCCAAATAAATTACACGTGCGGGAGCAGCGCGCTAAGAAAGGGACGCCGTCTGCTAAAGGCCGGGTCTCTTTCATCTCGCTTGGCGGGCGCCCCGCTGAAAGTTTGTTTGTTGTCTTCACCGATGGCGCGGTGGGTGTTGACCGAGCCTCACCGACGACCGACTTCAGTCCATTCGTTGATGTTGGATGATGAATGTACTTGCGCAACTCCGACTCTGATAACTCCAATTGAGGGTATTTCTTATCGCCGACCAAGTCCTATTGAAGACTTCAACCGCGCCGTTTATCCGGAAAGCGCCCCGTTGCGAAGCTCTGAAGCCAATTTGAAACAGGCCGACCCCTGAGCCGAAGAAGCGAACCGCGACAACTCATAGCCAATCATTCTCACGATCAAGAGACGAATACATTCATATCACTTCACAGGCAAATTCACAAGACGTGGAAAAGATTCCGGGGCAAACCAATTGATTCAAACACCCTACTCAAGAACACCCAGCTACCCGTCGCCAAAAGACACCCAAAGCCCAGCCCAAAAAAAGATGAACCAAGCTCCTTCGTCCTTGCCTTTTTCTCCTCTCAGATAACTGATAATACAATCCATGCCATGCTCCAGGAGTCATTCATAAAACACCATGAGAATCATAGAAACAATAGGAAAACAAAGAAGCCACCACCCCTCTAGACGCGAACCCTGACAGATTCCATCTTTTGTGACAACATCATCAGACACATCGCTTAGAAGCCGAGGAGGCCGTTGAAGGTAGTCGCAACAGCCTCGCTCTTGTCGCCCGAAGCCAGGATCTGGGCCTTGGCGTCGAGGCACTGCTGGTGGGCCGCGTCGTTGGCCTCGCAGACGTTGATGAGCTGGTCGCAGATTCGGTTGGTGATGATGTTGGGGTTGAGGGCGTCCTGCTGGCCCTGGGCGACGAGGGGGTCGGTCGGCAGGAAGGTGCCCTGGTCGGCCTTGCGGCCGGCGCGGCCGAGCTGGAAGTCCATGGTGGGCGTGCACTTGCCAAAGTCCGCGGCGCCGGTGGCGGCTCCTCCGGTGTTGGCGTTGCCGTTGTTGCCGGTGTTGGCGTTGTTGTTGTTGTTGTTTCCGGTGTTGGCGTTGTTGTTGTTGTTGTTGTTGTTGTTGTTACCGGCGTTCGCGGTGTTGTTGCTGGCGTTGCCGGTGTTGGCGGAGTTGTCAGCGTTGCCTGTGTTTCCGCAGTCAACGTTGTCGTTGGTGTTGCCAGTGTTGGCGTTGTTGTTTCCGGTGTTAGCATTGTTGTTGTTCTGGTTGTTGTTGTTGTTGTTGGCATTGCCGTCGTTGGCGTTGTTGTTGTTGTTGTTACCAGCACCGGCATTACCACCAGCAGCGCCCGCAGTCGTAAAGTTCGAGAACCCCTGCGCCTTCATAACATCCGCAACCGACAAACCCGTAGCATCAAACGGCGTAGTCTTGGAAGTAGCCGAGTTGGCGTTCTCGGTGTCCGAGCCGGTAACGGCCGGGTCGACGAGGGGCACGATGCCGCGGAGGGCCTCAGTCGCAGGCAGCGAGGCGTCGCCGCAGATGTTGGGCACGCTGACGACGAAGGGGTTGAAGTTCTGCTCGGCGGCGACGAGGCCCTTGGCGGCGTCGAGGACCTCGGCGCTGTCGCCGAGCTGCGTGACGATCTTGTCGGCGAGGGTGAGCTTGTCGCAGGGGTTAGCGGCGGCGAGGAGCACGCCGGGGATGCCGCCGGCGAGGGTGGCGGCCTCGCCCGGGTTGCCGACGTTCTGGAGGGAGGAGACGGCGGAGACGGGGGTCTGTTCCTGGCCGAAGCGGGCCTCGGCGACCGCCAGGAGGGCGGAGATGAGGAGGGTCTTGCTGGAGTAAGACATTTTGAGTTGTTTGTGCTGGTTCTTGGGGGTTGGTTTTGAGTGGTTCGTTTAAACAACGGAAGACCGGATGATCGAAAGAATCGAAGATAGCTTTAGAAGTTACTTTTTAGTGGAAAAAAAGATTGGAAAGGACCGTCTAGCGGTTTGTAGTTGGATTGTCGGACAAGAAAGAGTGTCGAGAACGTAAAAAAAGTTCACAGAACTGAAAGATTGGAAGAGGAGAGTAGGGCGAATGCTTGGTTTGCAGGATGAGGAGGGAAAGAAGAAACGACTGACAGACGGGATGGGCAGATGGGATTATATAGATGGGAGGTGTGGACGATGTCAGACGAGATTGTTTCCCGTGATGGACACAGACTGAACCGCAGGCACCATGGACTGGGGGCTTCGAGAAGGGGTGTCGCAGACGAGACGTCGAGGAGGTCTGCGACGATGACACTCCTTGACGGGCATCCCCCCCTCGTCCACGATCCATCCCATGGGATGAGATGCTCCAGTCCACCGAGTCGCATGCGCTGGGCCCATCCAGTAAACGCGCATGGGATGATGCGAACATGGGTGGTCAGAGTCTTTCCATGGGTTGGGAGAGCCCCAAGCAACGGTGAAGAGAGAGGAAGCCAACCCAGACGGCGATCATACGGCAGCATTGGACGGACGACATGGTGCGGCGGCATGAACGTCACGGACCAAGCAGCACCAGGCGCGGCGGCTCATGGCCAGGCTCAGGTCGCGACATGCCCAAAGTGTCCGTCCCAACTGGTCTCACACGCAGAGTTTGTCTCATGTCGGCTGGGCTCGAGGATTGGCCCAGGGACCAAGGGGGTTCGGATGAGTGGCGGCGGTGGTGGTGGTGGTGGCCGTCCCATTTCTTCTCAGATTCTGCAGATTCTGCGTAGGCTTCTGCAAAACTTTCGTGCAGCGACTGCGTGGTGATCGGGAGTCGAGCCGAAAAGAGGCATGGAGCAGCCTTGCAGATTGCCTCCTAGCTACTACTCATGCTTGCTTCATGATGCGCCTCGCTCAGGCCAGGGTGGAGGCCGAGCAACCGAGTGCTGCGATAGAGACCATGTCTGTCTACCTAGTCTCTATCTAGCCAGTCTTCCAATAGGCCCCTCACCCAACCCCGGGATGCGAGATGACGAAAGAGGGAGACGAGATGAGTTGAGGATATGGAAGAGCGAGAACCCGACAACGCGGGCGGGATGCGTGGTGCACGACTGGCAGAGAACTTGGAGGCGAAGGGGGCGCATTTGCGGTGCAGCAGCGTCCCAGGCGACCGCGAAGGGCATAGCGCGGCCCCCCCCCCCCCCCCTCCGCCCCCGCCCGTTGGCCGCCCGTCGTCCCCTTAGTGCTCAGTGCAACGCGCCCCCGGAACAGAGCGAAGCCCCCCCACCGTGAGCTGCCCGCTTACACGAGGGGACAGCTCCAGCACTCTAAAACTCCCCCGGCACGCTCTAAAACAGCATCGCGGTGGAAATATCCACAAGCAGACGGATGAATCCAGCTCGACGGGGCCATCCACTTGGAGAGGGCATGAAGCGGACGAGGCGGCCTGCGGCAGTTTCTTGCGGTGAATGGGGGCCAGAGGAGCGAGTGCGGGATGGTGCTGCGACTGTTTAGAGACTGCGAGTGTGTCTGGTGCACAGAATGTGAAGCCATCTGGTGGTGATGTGAGCTGATTCATGTTCATCTAGAAGGATGCCGTCTGATGGTTTGCAGCTATTACTGCGATAGACTCTAGACACCACGAGGAGATCCAACCCAACGTCAAAGCGGAAGAGTCCAGGTCACAACAAGACAGCCTGCGAGTCGTGCCATTAAGCTCATCAGCAAATTGAACCCGCAGGAACGGCGCGACCGGGTGAAGTGAGGCTGAGATAACCTGCGCCGTTAGCGCCCGGTGTCACGCATGTCCGGGTGCTGAATTAATTAAATTAATCTATCGCCAATGCTTGTTCAGTGGGTGTCGCGCACCGCAGCGGCCCAGAACCAGAACCAGCTGGTCGCCGCCCCTGGTGCACCACCCTTCCCTTCGTTCTTCACTTTTTTTAATCTATCGTCCCTGAGATCTGGGTGGCGGGTGTCTTTTTCCCCAGATGATCCAGCAGTTGATTAGATTGATTGAAGCTTGTTTTTTTGTCTGCCACTCATTTCGACATCTCCGCGGGTTTTGTGACTGACGTCCGTTGAAGAAACATTCCGTTTAGAGATCAACACCAGAACTCTGGATTTCGATGACTAAAACGCCTCGTAAATCTGGACAATCATCTCGTTTGTGCCTGCCCGCAAACTCTGTCCTCCTTGCCGTCGATCCAGATTGACTTTGGCGCGGTCGGCTGCCATCTGGCTCTTGCATCGTTAACAGTTGCTCTATCGCCCGGGCTCCTCCTCTTCTCTCTCTCTCTCTCTCGTCTCCTTCTCTCCCCTTCGCCCCCGTGTCCTTGCTCCTTCGCAGCCAGCACGACGCTTGGGGCAAAAGATCTTCCTGCGAGGGTGACATTCTGTTGAATACGACGCGAGCTCAGGGGGGAATGTAGTGTAGGTGACCCCATGATCCGGAACGACTTCGCTTCGGAACCGACCAGCGCCAACCTCATCTCGCCCAACAATCCTCCTCCCATCGCCTCGCGCCCGGCACCAGACGTGCCGTGCCCTGCCATCAATCTCCCACTCACCTTAACCCAAAAGCTACCGAAAAGAGGCAATTGATGGTTGAGCGAGCCACAGACTGCAACACCAACAGAGTCCAAGGGTCCCCAGCCCCACCCCCTTTCAGCGAGATCGCATTGCGATCAAACAGCCTCATCAGGGGGTCCACGCTCCCTGAGACGCCTCCTCAAACCGACCGGGTCTCAACCCGCACCAAAGGGCAAACCACCCACTCACAGGTTTCCCTTCGGCAGAAGCAGACGGCCCCGGGCCTTGTTTGACCGACATCTCTTCCCGTCCATCTCATACACAGGAGGAGCTGGTCGCATTTTTTTCTTTCTGACGTCGTCCCTGGCTGGCTTTGCGCGCGTATCCGTCAGCGACGACTGTTATTGTTATTTTGTGAGCACCGGTCGGCAGGCCCGCAACCCGCACGCAGGGCGAAAGGCAACTTTCCAGCTTTCGCGATTGCCAAGAGGTCGTGTTTGATCTGTGCATTGGTGTACCTGATTCCTTCCCAAAATCGGTGCTTTTGGGCATTTTTCTAAACTGTCGCTTCCTCTCACGACGACTCCTGTTAGGTGGAATGAGAGGCAAACCGTCTTGGCAGGGTGAGAACCGCGGCAGCAAGTCAGGAATAGTGTCTTCTCAACTCGTCAGCATCTATTTCAAGTTCATCAGCTCCTCGCTTTCGCTTTCATGGCCACTAATCATTCCTCATATCGAAGAAAGTCCCACCCGTCAATCGTGAGTGCACCTTCACCTCCCCCGATCCAAGGACCATCTAGACCTCGGTCTTTCCCGACCTCTCGACCCAACACCGGCAGCAAGCGGTAGCGAAAATCCTTAATTCACCTCATCCAACCCGTATCGACCTTCCCCGACTCAGTCCCCCCTTCCATCCCCATATCTCCAGTCTCAAGCTCAACCCAGCGCTCATCGCATAACACAGATCCCCCCCAAGCCTCCCCAGCCTCGCCGAATTCCCGAGGAACCTGACTCACATCAGTCCACGGCTTCGTCTGAAGTCCAGATGACAGCCCACCACCCACTTCTCTGCCCTTCCCCCTTCCCCCTTCCCCCCTCTCATTATGCCGTAGATCATATCTCTTCGTCCGGTCCCAAGTCGCAAGCTGCACAGACCCAGACGGCCACGTTCCGTCTGAAGAGCAACGAAAGAAAAAAGGGCAAGTGTTCGTCAGCGCATTGTGCGTCCACCCGCGCGCCATTTCGGCCTGACTTCCATCAGATCTCGCGTTTGATGCGCACGCGCAGCCCGCGGTGCCCCCCTTCCCTCGTGCCTGTTCCTGCTCGCACCCTGATACTGTCGTACGCAAGCTTCCATTATGCCGATCGTTGCGCCCAGCGGGCTTTTCCCGAGCTTTCTTGCGGGCGGGTCGGTGTTGTTCTGGACGTCTTTGGGGAATGTTGGAGCTTTGCTTGGAGATACATGAATGCGTGGTCCGCAGGTCAGAGGCTATCCTCGTGTATGCCCCTCCATCGCACTCATTTTTCCTTAATCACACTTCTGCGGGAGGCTTCTTCGGGTTTGGCTTTTGCTGCGACCAGAACTCAAGCGTTTTTACTGTGACATACCCCGTATGAAGATGAGTTTTGCCAAGTGGGCGTCCAATTACCACCTATGAGCTATATCAGAAGAGCGTTCCTTTTATTGTTATCGTTCTCGTCGTCCTTTTCGTTGTTATCTGTGCCTTCGTTATCGTCGTCGTTATCACCATCGTTGTTATCGTCGTCTTGGCTGTCTTCGTACTATTACTACTGTTCTGTTATCACTCACCGCCCGGAAAGCTGGTTTCATCCGCCCGAACAAGATGAAAAATAAAAGGTCATGAATAGCAAAACTTGTCTGGTATCCAACTTCATCTGCCTTTTCGGCTAGCTCGCCTAGGTTTCTATCGAGCATTCATAGGACTAGTTGCTTTATCTAACCGTCTACATCCACTACCTTTTTATCTTGCAAGAGGGCTACAGGCAGCGACGATAGACAACAATAACTATAATGGCCACAGCAATAACAAGGTCAAAGCCACGGGAAGAGATTGAGGACCTAGATGGAGACAAGGACCCAGACAGTGACAAAGACTAAGATGGAGACAAAGGATGACAGCAAAAGAGTAAGTATTGTGCCTAGTAAACCACACGCTTGCCTGCCTCATCTTGCCAACAGAAAACGCACCGGTATCTGCGAGCCTTGTGCTTAGGCCTCCACTGCGCACCTGCCTGTGCTATTGAGCCCCTATCGTGCAGCCAGTCGATAATACAGCCGAGATCACTAACGTGGCATCCAAGCACCGCCATCGCTTGCCACTCGCACTTTTCGTTCTGCACCTCAGTCTTTGTAAAGGGAAATTTATAGTCAAGGTCGTGGTTTGCCTTTCCAGCGCCAGGGCATCCGCAAGCAAGTTCCGCCGAGCAGAGGACGTTGTCGAGAAGTGCCTGACCAAGCTCGTTATCGAATCCTTTTCCGAGAACGACGTGCCGTAGAGTTTTGATGCTGTCGAGAAGTTCGTAGAAGTCGCCAAGCCACGTCCACTTATTGTTGCGCTTTGGCAGGTTGAGGAAGAGCTCATTGAGATGAGGCATGTGTTGGAGAACAGACATAATGGCGTCAAGACGTGTTCCCTTGTCGCGAGGTAGGTTGATGCTGACAAAGTGCGCATGGTCGAGGGCCTGGGCCCATAGCGATCGGAGCTCGGGATGGGAGCGGTACTCAATGCCGGGATCGTCGTGGATTCGAGCCAGCTTGATCCAGCAGTCGTCGTCGAAATGGATCATGTTCATGGAGAAGACGAAGTTCAAGATCTCGTCTCGGATCTGGCGACACACCAGGAGCAGGCCTGGTCGGTTGCACTGGCAGGTCTCGCAGGCCTTCTTGCAGCGTCCGCAGATCTTGGATTTCTGTCGGGTCTCGTTGGTGGTGAATGGCTTGACGAAAAGCAATTTCTGGCGAGGGAAGTCATCGGTGTATTCGTATATCATGTTTCGCAGCTCGCGGGGAAGACGAAGAATGGCGGGGGTGGTGGCCATGGTGAGTGTGAAAATGAAGGGTGTAATGTGAAGGGGGTAAAATTTACCAAGGTAGGTGTGAAGAAGGAGAGTTTTCACCTTGTTCTTAATTGCCTAGGAAGGAGGCTTCCGAAAGCTGAGGTGTTAATTCGGAAGGTGCGTTGAAGCTGGGAGCACCTTCCTCCGTAAGTTGGTAGTGTCAGTCGGCTATCCGGGTGTGCTCTACAGCTTCAAACGTAGTACACCTAATACTAACATAAGGACAATAGTAGTAGAGAAAACGATAACGCCGATGGACCACGGTGGGCGACGATGGCAGACGACGATGGCAGACGACGATGGCAGACGACGACAATAGATAATAATAACAGAGCCGATATACGAATCACACGCCTGCGTGGGGAACACTGCCCGTCTAGCAAAACTGTTAATAAGTGGGTGAGGTACAAGATTAACGCACGATTCGCTCAGAGGCAGAGATGTACTTGGCTCCTCTATTTAACACATTTTGACTCTGAAAATCGAAGGCCTAAGCATCTATATTCAGGATACGAATGGCATTGGTTTGGCATCCGCGTAACTAAGGGCGTTTTTTCCTTCCGTCGTCGCTGGTCTGGCTTCAATCTTGCCCTTTCCTCACTCTTGGCATAGCCAGTCTTTGCCGTCATTGACCTCATCTATCCCACTGCCCTTTCCAGCTTGGCAGTTATACGGCCGTTATATGCTTCTTTCAATCGCCGCGAGGCTTCCGTGCAATAGAGCGTCAACCGGCCCTCACGACGCAATCCATCAGAAGTGTATTCTGCCGTACGAACTGTGCAAGACCCGCCTCGGATATGCCACCATTCTCTCAGTTGCTCATGTTTCATGAGCTGCGTTGTGAAATAACAACCGAGTATTACGCTCCTTGGGTGAGAACCACCGTGATCACGCAACACAGTGACAGGTGCCTTGCCTAAACGGGCACGCTTATCCTCAAGGCTGCAAATGCATAGCAACTGCACCGAACAGCTGACCTTCTTCGAAATCGCCTCGACGTCTTCCTTCTGGGAACCATACGCAAGTTTTAAGTCATGCAGACTCTCAATCTTGTTAAACGCTGCGCAGTATGCGTCGAGAAGGGGCTCTGCATCCCACCGCCGTCTGTTGATAATCCCGAAACAGACGGTGGACAGCCGGGGGCTGTGTTTGATCGCCGAGGAGAACCACTCCGGCTTCGTGACGGTGTTCTGACGAATTGAGATGTGCATGTGACGGAGATAAGAGAGGGCGTCTTTCCACAACGACTGCATCTGTCGCGGTGGTTGGATCTCGGGTCCGCTCGCTCTCTTGCCAACTTTGGCGAGACGGAACCATGCGCCTTCGTCAAAGTTCTTGGGATACTCTGATGCATAGCCGTCATTGAAGTAGACCATGTTTTGGATGAAAAATAAGTCGAGGACTTCATGCCGCATCTGGCGACAGACGCGAAGCAAAGACGGTCTTTTCCAGGCGGAAGGGAAGGGAACCCCACTCGATTTGGCGCGAGCCACCCCGCTCAAGAAGAACTTCTCGTCCACTATAAGTCTGGCTGCTACAAGCTTGTGCAGTGGCAATATATTTGTGTATTTGTAGATGAGGTCCCGGAGTTCCCTGGGGAGGCGGAAGATAGGGAAGGCAGCAGGCGCAACGGGTCCTGGGTAGATGTCGTTAGTTACAGAAGCACCAGAAAGAGTGATGACGGCTGAGGCAGCAGTAACGATAGGCCCAGATGCTTGACCAGAGGCGGCATCGAGGACCGAGGCAGACTTGGAATTCGCGGTGGTGCTCCGAGTTCGCGGTGCGCGGTAAGGCGCTGGGCGCTTTTTGATCAATTTGGCTTTCCTAGGCATTTTTGTTGATTGTGGAGAGATAGCTTTCGAGATTTTGGCTTGCAAATGTTTCCCGGAAGAGGATAAATAGTATGACGGCAAGGTGTGATGCCCTGTGTGAGAAGACGAAAAGGTGCCCGAGGGGGCCATCCGCATTCATTAAAGCCAAGACTAAAAGAGTCTATTGTCAGTTTTGAGTTCCTATAGAATTAAATAGCCATCTAGGTGGCAGTTGGACCTCCACTGTGACGGGCACATGAAGATACCTTGAGGAGGGCTCTCATCGTCGCTACCACTACCGTCGTCATTATCATCGTTCTCACTACCATTATCGTCGTCGCCATCACTACTCCTATCCTCCTTATCGTTATCGTCCTTCGTGAGATAAGTATTTAGCTACACAAGAATTGTAGTCGCCCAGGCGCAAGAAAAATAGGAGATCTCTTGTTTTCACCCATAGAATCTTGGATGGCAACGGAGGTCTAGTAACATTAAGTTTCTCGGAAGAAAATATGTTTCGAATCATCATGATTAGCTTTCTGGTGAACAACCTTACACCAGAGTTGCAGCGCTTGATTCCGCTCAAGGCATGTCTGTCCTTCCAACGGTAACTAAAAAGTTTCTTTGAGTTTTGGCATAGGTAGCGTCCGGGTAATTGTAGACCTTGGAATAAACTCGGTCAACACTCAAAACAGAAGATTACCACCGAACGGTCGGAACCGACAAGGCTGGCCCAAGCCCCGAAAAAGCCTTGGCCCCGATGCCGCGAACCGACACGAGATACCCTTTTAGGCAATCTCATCACCCACGGAGAACCACCATCCGAACCACGCAATCGCCGCCCAAGCTCGGCTCTGATCCGCATCATATCCTGCGTCTCCACGCCCAATAAGCGGAAGGATCAACTGCCCGCAATCCTGGGATCCTAATTGAAATCCTCCGGGACGCAACGCTGCCAGATTAACGAATGGAACCGGATGGCGACTTATCAGCGCGGGAAACGGGATGAGATTGCTTGCGTCAGATCTGTCGTGCGACTTTGTTTATTAGGATCGGATATGCGCTAGGCAGGGGATGGATGAGGTTATCTTGACGACGTTTTGTCGCTTGTTTTGACAACATCTCTTGTGACAGAGACGTCTCATTTCGATGTCTGTTGTTTGAACTGAACAAAAATCGCTGACCGCAACACGACTATTTTTCTCACAAGTAAAGTACACAATCGTAATGCTTGGTTCTTAAATAAACGTTCCACGTATTTTAAAGCTACCGCAAGCCTTTTCGCGGCAAAATTCGCGTCAGGATGTTTGTTGTTGTTCATCGTGACGCCCCATGGCCATGAAAACACCAATGACAAAACTCGCGACAAATATCTCTCACGATCGCCAATTGAGCACTCAAGGAAGCCGATGAAGGTTTAAATACATTAAATAGGTATTGTCCATGCTGCTTGCATCATAATTGGCTCACCAAGACTCCATGTCAACCGCATATCCAGCCTCAATATCACGCAGAGGTCCTCGGCCATTCTTTTCCCCGTCGCCGCCTCCCTCGCCACAGCCGCACCGGCGGAGGCAGCCGCCGGGCCAAGAACCTCTCTCCTGCGGGCCGTGCGGCAACACTCATTCAGCTCGCAACTGCTGGCTGACTGGCCAGAAAGAAGGGAGCCGGAAGCGCCCAGCCCTGTTGAGCTGAACGGCCCCATCTAGATCTGCCTCTCCAGACTCTCTACCTGAGCTACGCGGGCCAGCTGGAATGCGAATCTTGACTCGCCCTCTGGGACACCACACTATTTTTGTTATTCTGCACCGCCGCACCCGTGACGCGGATCGACGGGAGAATCGACATTTTCTTCAAAAACACACGAGTCCAAGCTAGGAAAAAAACAAGGGCCCCGTCGGCGGGAATGTTCTGGGGTTGATCAATTTCCAACGGGAGACCGCGGCACGCTATCTATGTCTGGCAGAAACATCTGGAATGCCGTCCCGCCGATGGGAGCAAGACAATGTCTTGTTACGCGTTGAGACCTCATGACGCCGTGATTCAATCGAAACCGAGGATGAATAATGGGCGGGTGGGAACGAACATCTCTCTGCTGAGATGTTTGTCTTGGGCCCCTGTCCCGACCGGAGCTTTTTGCCTTTTCTCCCCTCTCCCTTTCTTCCCAGGAAAGCGGACGAAAAAAGACAACAACAATAACGACACGCACAACTAACTCTCTCGATGTCTCTCTCTCCACCCCAATCAAAGGGGACTTTCCGCAAAGATTCCGATGTGGTGGGTTGTCCCGCGCATTGGCTATCCGTAAGCTTCGCGGCAAGTCAGTTGCCGCGCAGGACAGGCACCACCTTGCAGCGCGCAAGCGCGCCGTCACCAACGGCTGTCAACAGCCAGGCCTGTCAGAAAACCAAAAAAGAGTTTTTGCTGCCCGCTGGCCGCTCATTCCGAGATGCTGAACCCTTCCCACTCTCCCGCCCGTGTCCAACGCGGCCTGGCTCGACCCTGGAACGTGGGTAGCACTCTCTGTCTGACGTCGTTGTGTGGGGGGAGGAACAGGACCTGTGTGTTTTCCAGCAGAGCCCAGGCCTCTCTTCTTCTCTGAGAGCATCTCTGTTTGGTTCGTCTAGCTGCCAGCTGGGCGTTATTCCACCTGTGTGCCCCTCTTCAAGTGACAAGAAGATTCGCGGGCGCCGAGTCAAAAAGGCCAGGTGGCCCCTGGCTCGCCGTGCATCTGTACCTGCGTCTGCCCAGGCATTGGACCGCTTGGCCGCCTGTCGAACCCCGGTCTGGACGCGGGCCACGCCCCCAGCTGGCTGCAGTCAGCAGTGGACGTGTGTCCCCGTCTGGTTCCGAAGGATTCTCTCAGCGGTGCTGGATTGAGGGGAGGGGGTACGGATAAGTTTAAGGGGGCGCGCGAGCGTCTCTCTGGGCACTGGGCAGAGGAGCAAAAAAGGCTTGTCAGTGGGGGGCTCCTGTCGGCTTATTTTCTGCTGCCGAGAACGAAGATACATAAGATAATTCGCCCAGGAATAAAACAAGGCACGAGGTAAATCCACATCTGTCAACAGGAGAGAGAGCCTCGGCGTTGAATTGAATTGCTTGGCCCTTGTTTTTTTGTGCTTCGCTTGCGGCTTGCAGCTGTCAGAGTGGATGCTGTGCCAGGTTGACAAAATCACCGCGAGTTCCGGGTACGGCAATCTGCATTGTCATCATCAATTGGTGCGGTGGAACATTCATGTCGCCAAGCGAAATACGATAAATGCCATGGTCGCGCGTCACATGATTTTTTAATCTCAATTTTCGATTTCGATTTGTGTTTATGCTTGATGCGCCAATACAACCGTTTAAATAACCCGAAAAAAACCTCATTGAACAACAAGACGCGTTCAAGATTGAACGTAAAGAACATGCATACGTATATACAATGGTTAAAAATGTTTCATTATTTCGGGTTCCCAATCATTAGTCTAGATTTCTTTGAATTGATATCACAAATGCTCGCTGTGTGTAATTTGTGCGTAAGAGGAGCCAGCAGAAGAGGTTGTAACCTAATACCCCATGTCTCAAAAATGTACACATTACTGGTGATATCGGTCTCTTCACCTCTTCTTCTTTCGCGTTTCTCTTTACGAGGATGCAATGTCTATTGACAGCGTCGGCACGCGGAAGGTGACGACCTTGGTCGCGGACAGCGCTTCGGAGCCTAGACCCATGTAGCCGAGGTAGGTCGCGCTGGTGGGGAACTTGACGTCGGTCGCGAGCGCGGTGACGGAGGCCGGCAGGTCGGTGAGGGTCGTGACGAGCTCCGTGAGGTCGCCGACGAAGTGCTCGGTCGTGGGCGCGACCCAGGTCAGGACGTACTGCTTCAGACTGTTCTGGCCGCCGTAGAGGGTGCTGCAGATAGCATGTCAGCCCAAATCAGTCCTCCACGTTCCATGCATCGCGAACACTTACAATGTAGTTCCGTTAATAGCCTTGGTCGTAAGAGCGCCGGAGCCCGACTTGTAGCCAATGGGCTGCGTCGCGGCGCCGAACGTGGCGAGCCACACCATCACTTCGTACGCGGCGAGCGTCGAGTTCTGAGCGGAGGTCTTGTCGTCGTCCAGGAACATATCGATGGCGACGTTGGTGTTGGTGTCGTTCTCCGTCAGCGCCGTCTCGTCCGTCGTCGTCGCCGAGTCGCCGTCCGTGGTGTAGTTGCCGACCGCGTACGACCACTCGACGTCGACCGCGATCTTGGAGATCTTGGAGATCTCGAGCGGGAGGACGGTGCCGTCGACCTTGATGTTGGGGAAAGCGTGGACGGGCTGCGTCTCGGGACCGCGGGGGTAGCGCCAGGTGACCCAGAACTCGGGCGCCGAGAAGTCGGTCGCATAGGTTTGGTTGTTGAAAGTCGTGACCTGGTGGTGGCCGGGTTAGCTGCGATGGCCTGCGGTGGTGGTCGCCGGCTACGACATCATGATGGGCGTGAAGCCGGGTAAGGCATTGAGGCGCAAAGCAAAGTTACACCTTGACGACATCATGACCCCGCCAATCGGCCAAGGTGCGATAACCGGAGAAAGATTGGGGGGGGGGGATGGAGGGGTTCTTGAAGACGTACATTCATGCACAAAGCGCCATCTGTACCCTCTGTCCAACCCCACTGGTTGGGGTTCACTGCGTAAAACATAAATCGTCAGCGAATTGTCATGATGAAATGAGGATAATTTGAACACATGTCTGGCCAGCTTGACAGCGGGCGAGGCCGCGGCAGCAAGGTTGGCCGCACCCAGACAGGTTTCGAAATCAAGGGAGCAAAAGTCAAACAGTCTCTTTTTGCCATTGCAGAAGAGTGTAAACATGACACAGGAAACTCGCTCCGGATTCGCTGGGCGAAGGAGCAAACAAAACACGGGAGCCCGTGTTGCCGTCGAGCATGAGGTACGGCTGCGAAAGTTCAGATGACAGCGTGCCGGCGGGAATGAGGCTCGACTGTGCATCGTGTGTTTCGGTCCGTGCCGCTCACGTCGAGTAGGTCATCC